TATGAAACAAATGTCATTAATGATACACAATCATAACTCCTGTCTAAACATTAACTACAGCATGACGTGACAATTGCTAATAATTTGTATGGAGGACTGGAAGTTAACTAGACAAAGAACGATCAAATCTAGACGGTCTAGATTCCTCAGCATGAATTATTAAGTTGCATTTTAATGTATTCTGCAATATGTTAGAAATGCATGAGTGACTAGCTGCTACTGTAAGATGGCCTTAAACCATAACAAAGAACCCAGAAACCTTGTGCCGCCTTTTGCAAGAAAAGAGATGTGAAAGCAGACATCTTCTAAAGCGGACTGATATCTAATGCTCGTACTGTCTTCAGGAATTTGGGCAGCGAGATCTTGTTACAGCCTAGAGTAATTTACATTTTATTAAGCCATCATTTTAAATGCAGTTTACCTTTTCAAGTTGACTTTAAAAAGGTTATCTACCTGCAATTACTCTTCAGCTAGTTAGAGCATAGAAGCAGCAGCTGAGGTACTGGTTTTCTTTGCATAAATCCAACAAAAGAAACAGGCATGCTGGATCCACACACGGTCTTCTCTGAACCTTGAAAGCATCCTGGTTGCAAGTAACCTGTACACAACAACGTCATGACACTTGAACAATGGACAACATATCGACTGAAAGACTGCAATTCAGTATATTAATACTTTATGTAAATGTACCAAATATCAGCAGGATTCCCATTTAAATCTTCATGCAAAAGAGCATTTCTTCGTCATCTGGGTTCATGTTGGGCCACCCTTATAAACCCCACAAGATAAGAGCCTTGTGTGTATTACATCTCACCCTCAAATGTAATCTTAGGTAGTCTTTATCTTTAAGTCATCGAATCTGGGAGTTATTCAGCAGGCAGCTAGAGCACTGTAAGATTTGTTTTTGTGGATTAAGCCTTTCTTGATAAATCACTAACCTGTTGTATGGGCTAGCAAAACAGGTGAGAGAAACAGGTAAGATCTGTGATGCAACGTGATGCTTTGCTTGTCTCAGCCAAGGGGCCTCAGCACATGAGATGGAGGGATTTTCTCCCTCAGGCAGAAAGACAGGAGGTTTGGGGACTGTAAGAGGATGCCATTATGCCCTCAACAGGGTAAAAGGAACATGTCAAACGCACTTGCTTTTGCTCCTCTCACTGGCCAACTGCGATCCTCAGGCACAGCTGAGAATCTCAGGGTTGGGGCTGTAATGAAAGATCCACAGCAATTATGTAATGTGCTAATATGACTGATGCTGGTCTGTAAAAAAAAAGAAACACAGCCACCTCACCATCTTCCACCACATGCTCTAGAATTATTCCATTGCTAAATTCATGAAACTGATTCTCATTTCAAACGGCTGAGCGCTGCCAAAGACTCTTTCTCTGCTCAGTGTTATGCAACTCCCACTCTGTACATGCAAATCCACCAACACAAGTGACTAGCAACCTTCGCCGAGTCGTTGTTATGGAGACAGTGTGAGATAATGTTCATAGACTTCAGGGCCATAATGAGGGTGTGTAATGTCAACAGAGCAAAGGCATTGTAATACCCTACTCTGACTTTTTAAGCTGGGCTGAGTCTTGTCACCTTGGTCGTGGGGGATCAGCAAAGGCCATGCATGCTAAAGACAAAAAGTTCAGGTGAGGGTCATTGTGGAGATTTTCTTGTGTGAAGCGACAAGCCCTGGTTACCTCCGGACTAATTGCCTTGATGGAGTTCAGTGGGCAACAGTCAGCTGGGTCTTGGCATTGTATGGGGAGAGGCAAGCCAGAGAGAGAATGACTCGAGGGGAGGGGTTGAGGTGACAGCTGAGGAATGTCTGCTCGGCTCTCTCTTTGCCATGGTTTCCAGCGACTGTCATGTGAGGAATGCATGGGCTAGGACGACAGGACTAGGAATGCTACTCTCTGAGACGAGTTTAGCCTACGAGATCTGGAATCTCCACTTGTCTACTGAACCCGTCATTCACTTGTATACTCTTTACCGTCCAGTGCATGCAGTCTGTATTTGGGAGAACCAATCTGTCACATCACAAAAGGGAAATTTGATTTGGAAATGACAAAAAGCTATATAAAGCCGCACTCTTAACTCGATCAAAGAGTGGTGAAGTCACCGATTATTATTGGTTAATTCTCCAAACCTCATCCCTAACAGCGTCCATATGTGCAAGGGGGCCTGTAATGACAATCATGAATCACAAATCGTAGAGACAACAACAGACGGGAACATGTTTACGGGTCCTTCTGAAACAAGTCATTTTTCCAGTGACAGAAGGCCCATGACTCGCATAAAGGAACAACCTCTGGCCTTATTGTGAGCTTATGCCAGAGCAGGACTACAAAGCAGAGCTACAGACTTTGAGTCATACCCAAACTTAGTATCATCTCTTGAAACCCAGTTAGGAGAATTGGTGGCGCTGGTTATTTATAACCCTGCACCGGTCACTAGCACTGGGAGTGATATCGCTGCACCCAGAGTGGGGTGAGTCCTCATGCAACAACATGACACACTTCACAACAAAGCAGGAGGTCAGTCGTACAACCGAATAGGGCAGTTCACTTTAATGACCAAAAAATGATCCAATTAAAAACGTGTTATGAATGTTATGATCTGTATTTTAAAAACAAAAGCACAACAAAGTTATCATAAAAGACATCCAATGCATGCCTCTGACTGTCCATCTCCTCTGACTGTCCATCTCCTCTGACTGTCCTTCTCCTTGTCACCTTGTCTTTGGAAACTATCACTACCTTGACCTTGCTGACATTCTGGGATAAGGACTTTAAAACAGATACCCCTCTATCATCTTCTACAATTGTTTTGATTAGATCCCAAAACCCCAGGTTTACATGCTGGCCTACAACAAAAACACACAAGGCAGCTACTTGTCTCCAGAGATGGTTAGGTCTGGAGAGCGGCACTGCAAATTCTTTCCTCACTCTAGCTCATCCCTGGACATCAGCCCAAAAAAAGGCAGCGTTTCCACCCAATGAGTTTGCATGGGGGGGCCATGCTTATTCAAAGTTTCATTATAGCTGACTGTGAGCACAAATGATGGTTGATTTAACAACACCATTAAAAAGCTAACTTAGAAAAATACAGATCAACTCACTAACTAAAGATAAAGCTTATGATGAACCATCTCAGAAATCTGGCTTTTAAACTTTTATTAGGTGTAACAAAGTCTAGCAAGGTGGCGCTCTTAGCATTACACTGGACATTTAGAAATGAGTCATAAGGTGACATCACTAGAAATCTATAAAAAAGCATTTAACATGAATTGTAAATAATGATCTTTAATTAATTATAAGATCATTCAAGCACTTGCTATGCAAATAAATAGGGGGAGGAAGTTTCTTAACTGTGGAAATGTGGTAAATGTGGAACTAGAACTTAGATGTGTTCATAATAAAAGCAAATGTTTAATGTGTATGTATATACACATGCTGATAGTGTTGATATACTATACTTATATATTTCATGTATAACAACTGTCACTAAATGTAATAACAGTACAGTAATAGTTTCCTGGATAATACCTGGAAAATCCTATTGGTATCTTCCAGGTATTATTTAACAGTAAATGGTAGCGAATAGCTCACATCTAGAGAAAAGCACATAAAGAATCAAGTAGTAGACAATACAGGAATTCCTAACTAAACTGACTTGTTCATAATGACTTCAATTACAATTATTTCAAGCTACTCTACTGTATGTACAGTAGTACACATCACTGAATGCAACTTGGTCACATCAGGACTCTTCTTTATGAAACGTTTACTGCACCTTCTATAAACCATAATAATCCTATCCATGGACAGGCATTTTAAAACTAGGTGTATCTGACTCATACACGGTGTAACTGACTTACGAAAGCCCAGACAGGCTGCCATTTTCATTAGTCGGCTTTGAAAGTAGAGGCTAGTAAACGCAGCTACCGTAGGCAGCGGGCAAATAGTTAGCTTAGCTGCTGACATTCCAGCCAAATAGCAACGTATTTGGCACTCATATGTTCTCGTAACACCAAAAACTACAATGTCACAGAATGTTAAACTTGGAGACAAAACGATAATCGCTGACGTCGCTTCTCAAACCAGCTAACGAATGAATTAACCTGGGCTAAATCTCCAAAACAGCTATCGACAGCTAGCTTGCCCTGCTAATGAAGCGTTAGCATACATTCCGCTTGGCTCATACTCTTCTAAAATAATGAACAACTTCATGACATTTGAAGTCATATACCATACCCTGTTGTCCACAGTGTTTCTATAACGTAAATGTCGCATACAGTAAAGGCTGTGAAAGGATAAAATAAGACTGTAATCGAATGACGTTGTAAGCAACCAACGCTAGTTAGCTTATGCTTCCTCCAGAGATTAGCCGCAGTCGCGGTGGAGGGTTTATCAACAAAACCACTTTTACTGCTAGCCAGGTAATAGCCATCGTTCTGGAATTCATTTTGTTTGGACCAGTGTCTCAATCAATGACAACATTTGCGTTGAACTCATAGCATGACAGGATCGTAGCACCCGAAATTAGTTTTAGCCAACAATATCAATGAACCATACAATTTACAACATAAATAACACAACGTTGCAATCTGAAGTGCAGCAGTACAGCAATTAGACTGCCCCCACCGACTGGGGATATAATAGCTCCGGCAAGTTTACTGGGGCAAAAGTAGTTCTGAAAGCGAAGCGTTTAACTTTGTTGCTTACTGTCGATTGCACTCTGAAAACTGCATACACAGTTAGTACTGTTATGACTTTAGAAATCCCACAACCAAGCTCACTGAGTAGCCCCTGTGGTCATCTATAACGTTGCTCTGCGTCGAAAAGGACGGCTGTGCTAGGTAGGTAAACAACGGGATGAGAATGGCTTCCATTTGACAGGTGTTCCAGGGCAAGCAGTTGCTAGCAGCAAAACGATATTTATGTCTTTATAGTATCGGCAGGGCCAGTGACTGACGTTGACACATACAGCAGGCTACCACTAACCTGGTGGAGGGCGGTGAGACCGTCTACATTGGCGTAGTTGATGTCAGCGCCCCGGTCAAGCATTCGGAGCACCTCCTCGGTATCGCCGCTTGAGCAGGCAGCCAGAAACACGGCGCCATCATCGAACTTCACCTTCGTCTTCTTCTTTTTCAGAACAGGAGGCTCCTGGTCCGTTTCCGAGCCCAGCCAGCGCTTTAACTGCTCATTCCTCTTCTGCTTGGCGTCCGCCATCTTCATCCCCCTCCTGTCTCGGGCTTCTTATCTTTCTCCGAGAGAGGATATACTTTATAGTGTCACTATCCCACAGCGCACTGGGGCGTGGGAAGGGAGGGCTGGGGAGGAGGGGGAAACCGAGAGAGAGAGGGCGTCTGGATTGTTTCCCATAATCTCGCGAGATCTGGGGCTCAGGAGCTGCAGTATAACGTCATCATCACCAGATTATGAAGGGAGAGTGAGCAGCAGGGTAATCCCTTATGGACCGTACGGTGTACACCAAAGAAGACAAGGGTACTTGAAAATATATATTACATAATATTCAGCTAGCTTGCTATTGTAGAGAGGGAGGCACTGTTACATACAGTTGCAAATATTTGTACCATCTCCTATCTGCTCCTTTTTATAGGCTATTGTTGATATTACTGGGTACATAATAAAAGTTCACCCTCAGTTCAACCATAACATTTTTACTACATCTGTGATGTAACTAAAGCAACGCATATCAGCAGGCTTCTCCTAATAATAACATCTGCTATCATATACAATATATCAATAGCTGCCCACAATCTCTACACAAGGTCCAATTTCATTTTCTACTTTCCGAGTTGCTCAGTTGTCATGGAGATGGTTCACTTTTATCAGGAGATGTTTGACTGTGTGGAGATTATCTTTCTGAAACTCAATATGAAGGCCTTCTTAATTCTTCCATCAAGCCTGTCAAATGTATTGTATACCCGCTCTTATACAGTATTTAATGCAAACAATGTTATAAAGGAAGCTCTAATTTTCATAGTAAAAACCAAACATTATGAATACAACTGTTCATAATGTTTGGTTTTTACTATGAAAAAAGAACAACAATTTGTGATATGGAGATCCAGTCTTTAGTTTCTCAACAGTTACTGTTCTCCATATCACAAATTGTGTTATTGCTTTTGTGTCACATTTTTTCTATTGTTTCTGTCACAATCTTTTAGATCACATTATCATTTCTAGTGATTCAAAGGAATGTGCATCCCTTCTGCCTATAATATGCTTTTTTTATTAGTTATGTCGGTTTTATTTCAAATAGACATGCCTTGCTGTATCTTCTTTCTCTCCATTTCAGAGATCTACTTTTGCATGTAAAAAAAGTATTTATTTTCATGTGCAAAATCTGATATCAAAAAGGATACATTAACACACATATCACACCCAGACAGGACACATAAAAGCACATTTACGTAAAGAAACAATAATAGCAACAATAAAACAGATAGGAAAATAGGAAATGGCATGCTGAGAAACGCATCAAATGAAATTGCTATATTGCAACTTTGTCATATTATGTTTAATATACGCCTAATAAAAACACATTATTCTCTGTGGGAGAGCCTTCTTACCACAAAGTACCTGTAATGATTTGATGGGTAACATTTGAACGGCGGGGAATTTCTAGTGGACTTGAGCACCGGGGTGGTCCAACTCAACCTGGAGTAAAAACAAGGTGGCCAGGCATAAAGTGTTTTTTATTTTGGCAACGCCACGTGTTATTGTTGGCAGACACCCATGTGTACTCAGCAGGGGGTGTGGTATTGCCTCCTTATACGCAAGTTGTAGGTTTGAGCCATGCAGCCCCCTTTCTTTCTTCAAAGTGTCATTACAGATGATAATAATGTTATTTTTGTGTTTAAAGACATCTCAAAGAGTGTAAATGATGCAGCTTGATTACCACCCTGCACCTACTGAACGTGAAGTTATCATTCTGAATAACAAGCTGTTTAAGCCAAATCGTCATCAAAAATATTTATAACTGTGATGAGCCGTTGACTGAAGTCACTCAATCCCCATTTTCTTATTTCGGAACCATTCCACATGTTGCTGACCCTAAATGAGGATATATTTGAATAATTTATAGCCAGTAACTGGGACTCTGAGCCAGCACACAGAGAGAGGACGACCAGCTCCACTGATACTGACTCTAATGTAACAGAAATTGGAAATGACTGTTGTTCTCTGAGTCAGGGGGATGGTGGAACACCAACAGCGTCAGTGTCAGGAAGAAGTTGGCCAGAGGCTTGAGCGAGCTGATAACTAGAGGGTTTGATGGAAATTGATGTGTAAACTACTGTTTGCCCAGGAGGGCCGACCTTAAAGTGACTGACAGCACAAGGAGAGCCATGTGGGCCCCATCCAGCTCTGAACGCAGTGACTCTGTACTGTGTGTAGGTATGTGTGTGTCTGTGTGATACACTATTGAGTTTTAGAGCTGCAGACTTTATTATTACTTGCAGAACAAAGAGCAGTGCTTATCTTTTTGCCTGAGTGGTTGCAAAAGGTTGCTTCGATATATTATTTAATTCAAATGTTTAAATATCAAGACATCATTTCAATTATTAATGTCCTACACCCGTGGAAAATAAATATTGCAACAGTTATCTTATCATTATTTTGGCCTCTGAATATGTGTGCCCTATTCATATTTAAAAAAAAAAACAGTTTGAATCAATTTAGAAATCAAACTATAAGAGTTTAAAATGGATTTGAATATTTCCTACAGGTGTTTTCAACAAATCAAATCGACAGTGTGTTTAACATAGTTATGTAAGAGAGGCCTCTCACTGAAGGCATGGAAACTCTTCAATGTATATCCGCATACTCCACTTAACGCTGTAACGCATATCTTGGATGTACAGTAATGCATCCTGTTTATGCATCCTGGGGCCCCCCCTCAGCGGCTGTATTTACCTCCTACAGAGATATACAGAACATTGTGGCTTGTTTGAGTGGAGATTGGATTAGAGAGTGAATTAACTGACCTTACATTGAATTATCCAACCCAGGACACTGTCAGTAAAATGACTCTGCCACATTTCCTGCAGATTAAATCAATCAGTGCAAATAAATGTGGTTATGCCAGAGAATGCATGAGTTTTTTAATGTTTGTTGTAGCTGATTGGATGCAGGAAATACATTAAACAACACAGGAAAATCACAATTTATCAGCCTCACCTCTGAAAGTACATGTGTCATGAGACTACTTCACAAACTCCTGTTTTTCATTACCCTTCACTTTGATCTGCGATGACTCTTTGCTGTTGTTTCTGATCCTTGAGAGGATAAACGTGTCCTGAGTGACTCAAGTGTATCAGTGAAACAGATACACTTCGGCACACTCTCTGTGTTTGTCTTCAGCCACTGAGACATACATGAGCGAGCTGATTAAAACCCACAGACAGATATAAAAGTAATGTCATTGTAGTCAGTTCTCAGTGGCTCACCATCAGATCCCTGGGCACCTATGACCGATCCCTCTTAGAGGAAGCTTGTGTTTACGGCTTGAATTGAGTGTTTCCGAAGGGACTGTTCTGTGGTGCGCTTTGGGAAATCAGATGAGGTGTCCAAGTCAAGTGTTCTGGAAAGACAGCTGGAAAGAGGTGATGTGATATTTTGGAAGTGCCTATCTGACCTACAGTAGAAGTCTGTTTAGTCTTATAAAATGTTGTCCTTTTTTTTGTTTGATTGAGTCAACTAATTATTGACATAATTAAAGCAGTAATTTGACATTTTGGGAAATATGCATACTTGCTTTCTTACCAAGAGTTAGATAAGAAAATAGTTACAACTTACATAGATGTCTGTTAAAATACAGGCTTGGGGAGTAACGGATTACATGTAACAGGGTTACGTAATCAGGATACAAAAAAAGGGTCACTGTATTCCCTTACAGTTACAATTAAAAAAAAGATTTAATCAGATTACATTTACATTTTTAAATAAAATGGGGATTACAAGCAGGATTACAATGGTCCAATACATTAAAAATAAAAATAAAATGTATATATTATAGGCAGGCATACTGCTTGATTATTCTTTTTGGTTTATTTAGGCTACTTTTAAACTTATTTAGTTTTTCTTCATTTTAATGTTTTTTCAATTGCAGTTGGTGAACACCTGATTTATTAAACAAAAACACTGTGTTTGATTACGGTATTAAACTAATTCAGCATTTGTTATATTTGTTTCATATCTGTCAGATTAGTACGTTTTCTTTAATCCTGATGACAAACCAACTGCACCAAACTTGGCCGAGGAAATTAAGTTTATCGAATGTATACCATAAATAACAATATATTGAATATCAAAACAATGGTGTCTGTTTAGGCTTTTGTTGTTAAAAGCCCTTTCAGAAGCCATTATACAAAACTATATTCATTGTCATATAGCTGCTGTATCTAGTCATATCCAGCAGCAAGTCAATGCAGGTGACTCAGACAAGCAGCACTCACAGAGGGGTGACTGTTGAAGTGTGGACAAGTCAGTCCCATCTGAGAGAAAACAGAAGCTCTGCTCCCATGCTCCCATGTCGCCCAATGCCTGTTGTTGGCGCCTGCGACACCGACACACTCATCTCTTTTCCCAATTTACGGGTCCAGACAACAGCGCTATCGAACAGATAGAAATAGTCATGCTTTGATGTTATCTGAGGATGTCTAAAAAGTGATGTTGAGAATTGCCCTGAGAGTGCTGGCTTAGCCCTTCAGACACTTTCAATTAGTCACTGGTGGACTCAAAAGCTTGTCCTGGCCTGCAGTATCAGGTGAGAGTTAGCAGGTCTACAGACAGTGAAAAGCCAGATGGAATATAAAAATATTCTTCTTAGAACAGTTTATCCATGGAGCCCCAAGGTGACATCTCGTGCTGTACTGGGCTCAACCCTGAATGTCATTATTGAGGAACAGGCCTGCATTTAACTGCATGTTTACTATGTAGATCTTCACCTCCCCATCCTAAATCGCTCAGGGCTTCCACTGTCAAAGTATTCCACATTATTCCACAAAGTATAGAGTGGAATAAGGAAGCAAACTCCTTCCCAGGACAATCAGGCAGCAAAAGTGGAAGGAGTACTCTGGGGAAATTAATGCATTCAAAATATTAGTAAAAATGACTCCAAATCCAAAAATATATTTTGGCTTCACTAGGCACACCTCTTTTTATTGGATTTTAATGTTTGTTCTGTTTTCTATTAGATTTGTATTGAACGTCAGCTGTTTTTTTATTGAAAAGTCTAGATTTTTCCCAAAACTTTGATGTCATGTGAACTCCATAAATGCAGGATTGTGCACTACACTGGA